ATCAGTTAGGAAGCCCAAAGGGGAATTATGTTTGCTACCTTAAATATGACAAATTCTTAAAGCTATTGTGGAAAAATCTTAAAAAGGGGCAACTGACTATCAACATATCAATTAGGGTAGTTAAAGATAAATAAATACAATCTGACGATCTTTTCAAAAAGAGCATTACTTGCAACATATTATTTGCTTTCTTCATGAATTTAGGAGAATGTCTCTAATTCTTAATCCCTTTATTCTTTATACAACTCTAGGAGGAGAATAAAACTAAAAATGATTTTTTCAGCAAAAGCCAATCAATTTTATTCTGCCTCAATATTTATAGCTACAAATAATATGTAACAGTTTTTTTAAACTACAACTTCTATTTGCCATGGAAAATTTGTATGCATAAAAGAGAAATCAGAGGCAAAGTTTCATAAAATGGTTAGGAGTATCAATTTAGTTTGTACAAGCCGGGTAAAAACATCTCCTGTAAATGTACACAATCATCATTAAGATGGAATTGAGGAGGGCAACTGTGTAATTCCTGGAGTTTTAGCTTTCACAGGTTTCCTTTGCGGGGGTTAATCTCGTCAGGGAAAAGATCCAAGATAAAGGAGGCTGAACTCATTCTTCCAGCAAATACTTATCAAGAGCCCAGAACTGACTGATATTTCATTGGACTTTGGAGACTCAGGGTGAGCCAGAGGGTGATGTTATTGGGGTGCTCAGAGCCACAACAGTGGGAGAAGTGAAGGCTACCAGAATGATGACTGATTCTTGCCTCGTGAGATCTAGAGGAATCTAGAGGAATACAGAAAACCAAAGCAGCCAGTGGACCTAATTTATGAGTGTTGAGATGTTAGCCAACACAGCTTTAGAGAATGACCTATGTCATGACCACAGTAAGCTCCATGGCTTGATTGATTCATTTATTTATTTTTATTATTGTTCATTCTCAAAGACGTATGGCAGTTTACATTGTTAACAGGAACTGAAATCTGATCGCCTAACACAGGAAACTTCAGAAAGCTCCTGGAGAAAGGAATGGCAGGAAAAGTTTATTTTGATGGCAATAAAATAAAAAAAGCCTGAAATTTCTGCAGATTTTTTTTTCATAATGTGCATTTTCTGTGAACTGTTGGAAGATACTCTGTATGTTGGAACATCCAGAGTATGACATCTTCTTTACATCAGAAAACTAAAAATCATTAAAAGAAAAAAAACAATGTTGGCTACTGAGACTTCTAAAGTGCTTCTCGCATTGTCTAACCTGCCCTCAGAGTCACGTTCACATCCTCTCTGCTTTGTGCTATGGTATCTAGGCATGAATTACCAAGGGACTCTAGAAGTCATTTTTATTCCCGTTCCATGTTTTCAAGCCATTTGCTCCCCTCTGGGAGGCTTGCAGAGGCACAGAGGTTTTCCCAGGCTGGCTTCTGCACCTACTTTCTTTTTTTGGAATGTGATAGTCCGAGCAGCTTGAGAGCAGCCCTATTTGAACGGTAAAACCAGAATAGGCCCAGTCTCTAGTTTAGAATCTGTGTTTCTGACCAGAACTAAACTACAGTGGAAAAATCATTATTTCACTCTTTCAAATGGTTCTTGTTTTTATATGAGAAAAAAAAAACGGGCTTTTTGGAGAGAATGCTGATCTGGAATCCGAGTTTCTTAATACCTTAGCTGTTATTATTCTCACTGACCTCTACGCTAAAGCAAGCCAATATAACTGCACGACAAAGACATCCTATGACCTAAAGACAAAAATCTACATCTTGCTGCCAACACTGACCACTTTCACTTGGGGACTAGGTAGCAATTTGGCTTTCTAGCTGATCTAGTCAGATTTTCCAGCTGAATTGGAGATTCATGAATTTACTTTTGAGTAGCAGCCTGAATAGAAGAAAAATCTCATGACACATACCTTACTGACAGAAATGTACATGGGGAACTTGGAGCCAGTGTTGTGGTACAGTGGGTTAAGCCGCTACATGCAACACTGGCATCCCTGCTCCACTTTTCATCTAGCTGCTTGTTAATGTACCCAGGACAACAGCAGAGGATGTGCCAAGTGCTTGAGTCCCTGCTACCCATGTGGGAGACTTAGATGGGAGACTTCCAGGCTTCTGGCTTCTTCCTGGACCAGTCTCATCCATTACAGCCATCTGGAGAGTCCACCAGCATTCTCTCTGTTGGTCTCTGTCCCTCCTTCGCTGTCTCTCCCTCCTAACATGTAACTCTTTGTTTCAAATAAATAAACCTCGGGAAAAAAGAGACACAGAGCAGCGACACCCCCTGGCTCAGATTGTGATTTCCATTACCTCCTGCTCTTGATGCTCTTGATGGCCCCTTTCCTGGTCTTCTCCATGATTAATTTAGAACAAAACGTGTATTTTTCCTCCATGGCTTTCCAATGATTTCTTTCTTACTGGTAGAAAATTGTGTTAAATCTAGCGAATTCTCTTTCCACAGGAAAGCACGTCTCAGTGGCAGTAAAGTCAGATGAAAATCACGTGTGATTCTTCAAGAGTCACTGCAAAGGGAGCAGGCAGAGGAGCCAGAAGTGCTGCAGTCTGAAGTGATTTCTTCAGTGTGGGGTTTTTTTGTTTGTTTGTTTGAGCTTGGGGAGTTTTAGGGAACAGAAAGGTCACACAAAGTGAGACAAATTCCTGGAGGGAATCAGCATGTTGGACGAACACCTCGTTGAGGTGATGGCTATGAGGAGATGAGGGAGAAAAGGTAAGAGTGGTTATGGTTAGGGAAGATTTACAGGCAGAGCTGTCAGAGTTTTTAAGGCATTTCTATCTGATGGTTCCTATGTATTTTTGCAAGTAGAAGTCATCTACTGAGTGAAGCAGCAAACAGGGATGTAGGGGTGGGGATTACAAAATGCAACAAGATCACGGTGAAAAATGCTCTGGTGGGGGTGAGGTGGGGTGAGAAAGAGTAGTAAGGTTGAGGTCTGGCTGCAACACAGCTGAGACTCGCACTATTCTGTCCTTGCGAGCTCCTGGGATTACTTCCTCTGAGTGATGCCAGCATCATTTGGTGGACGTGGGCAGTGCACAAGCCAGGGTCCTTGAGCCCCGCTTCCGGTTGGGGAGGAATAGAAGGCACTTCCTGAATGGTTGCTCTGTTTTTGCTCTCTTCTAATGATTATGACTCAAAAAATACTTGAATTGGTACATTTCAGGTTTTTTTTTTTTTTAAGTGTATCCAGAATGCACTCTAGAGTTGATTCCTTGTGTCACTTTCTTGGTTTTCCAAATTCCTCTGCGATGTTTTCAATCATCTTGGCCATCCAACAATATTAGCATGATGAAAACGTTACCAGCTTTCCTTACGATGCATTCCAAGAGGCCACTTCATTAGGTTTCCTATGATGCCCGTCACCTCTCACCCACCAAATCTGTCAGCTGGAAGGCTCACTGCACTCCTTTACAAAAGCCAAACATCACCCATGGGGTCCAAGAATGTTTCTCTTATAAAGACCCCTGGCTTCTGTGCCAATTGCTGTTTATCTTTAGTAAATTTCTATTGTACCAAAAGCATTATCATATTTTGTTTGCTGATCATTTTTCCCCAGCACTCACACTGTGGTCTTTCCCTGGGTGCAAAGTATACATCCACAAGGCCTTGTACATATCTCAGAATCAATGTGCAGAAAGACATCAAGAATGCTGTAAACTTGAGGGAGCCATCATGTATTCTCAGTGTTGTTTTTCATTGTAATTGAAAGACTTGTGGACTTTTACTCGCAGTAATGCAAATAAATCATCTTTCCTATTTGGTTAACTTTTGCATTGAACAGTACAAAACAACAGCAGAGGCTTCCACTGAGTAAAAATTTAACATTCACCTATTTAATTTTCAGAACCAAAGTCAAAATCAGAATTGAGCGAGCCCTTCTTCAGTTCTATGTGTTATCTTAAAATATTTATACTCTCTGAAATACAATGATCAGCTTCATATATTACCATTATACCCACTCCCCTCACACACCCAACTTGTTTCACTACTGCACGTATCAAGTCTATAAGATTCCAACAACATTTTGCTTGAGAAAAATTCACTGACTTGATTTACAAACGAACTAAACATTTTATTAGCTCCCAGCAAAAGATGAGCTGAAAATATTTGGAAGAACGATCATCAAATATAGGTCAGATAGAAAATGAGATTTAAACACATTTTAATTAAGCATGTTTTCTTTTCCATCTGCCAAATAAAATTAAAATTTTTCTCCCTGTGTCTTAATGAGGGTAACAAATGAGAAAAGTTTATTTTCATTCTTTCTGTTGCTGCTCCTGCAATCTTTAGATTTAACTTATAACAAACTGATTTTAGAAACAGAAGAATTCAGTTGGATTTTCATTATTTTTAAAAATAAAACCTGGAATACCAAACAAATCATTTATGTTTTGGTTCCAGTCATGATGCAGCTCTGTTTGTTAGCCACAGAACTTCAGTCCCCAAGCAGCTTGGCTTGCTCTCGTATCATATTGGACTCCAGAGAATTAATCAAAAATTCTCTCCAGAGGTAAGAATGAGAAAGATGGATTGAGCAGCAATTGTGCATAGCCAGTCTCCTCACAAACAGGACCCTGGATACCACATCTGATTTATCACAGGATCATAAGCCATGCAAAAACACCAACAGGCTTCCATTTTTTCTCACAACTAAAGAATAAAAAGGACAGGTAATATTAATCAAACAGTGACCAATCAATGCGATGAAAAGCAGAAAGTGTCCTTGTTCACGGAATCCACCCATTATTTGCTGCATTTCTCCATGGTGGCTTCCTTGATTATATTTTCTCAACAAAGTGACCTACCTTTGAAAACCAATGGTACCTTCCAGAAAACGTTTGCATTACACTTGATACTGTCATTTGCGCAGTGCGGTTTTACCAGAACCACATTTAGGTGGAATTTCTTGAGTCTTGGGATGCTACAGAAGCTAATTTAAATGGAACTGAAAAGGGGACGAGACGATCCATTAAACGAGAGACAGCACCTACCAACTGCTGTCATGTAATCCCAGCGGTCGATGAGGCAAGTGTTGAAGATGAGGTGATCGGATGTTTGCCCCTGGCCAACCAGGGAAATGTGCCTTTCCAGGTTCTGGCACACGGAGGAGGTCCAGCCAACCAGGAACCAGAACACCACCAGGAGAATCACGGCCAGCATCCGCATGACCCTGCCGCCGGTCATGTACGGAATCCTCTGTGCGGTTCGCGAGAGGAACACCTTCAATACCCTGCAGAGGTGGAAGATCACAGATATGAGTGCTAAGGTAACACTGGTGACTCCAGACCCTAGGGTATCTTAGGGGTCTTCTTGGTGATATTTACATCCATACAAACCCACAGGTGCCAAGTCCCAACAAGACCAACACCAGAAATGGTGTTGTTCAAGTTCCGATTTAATTTTAGCTTGTCTTCTAGGAGCACAAGCAGCTTTCCTGAGTTAGAGACCATTGTGGTAATGTATTCACAGATGAAGGAATTCTTTTGAGCACAACTTCCAAATTTCAAGGAAAATTCTCAGGGGTGTCGAAACGTCTGTAGGCAAACATTGCTCAGATAGCGTTTTGGGGGACCAAGAAATTATCCTGAGTGTAGACAGTGCAATTTAATAACAGTATACTTAGTCTAAAGATTTCTTGAACCAATTTTGTGATTTTAAAGCAAAATGTCATTAAACGCATTACCTGAAAACCGATCCATATGACCTCAATTTGGAGTCACATTATTCTTCAAACATAATCACAAAATAATAAATAAAACAATTAGAGGGATAGATGACACACAGGAATAATCAGGATTGAGAATGGTTGGGTAAAATCATACCTAAGTACTGCTCTCTCTACATATTGTGCGAAGATGAGATCCAAACATATCATAGGAATCCTCCTTCAATCCAGTCTTCATTTTTAATCTCTACATCCTTCTCAACTGATCTTGATCCCCTACTCTCTTCTGGTATTTTATGTCACAGAGTTGAGCTTTGACTTAAACTATCGCAAATGATTTATGGTTCTAGGATAGCACCTATAATCAATTTCCATAAGGAAAAAAAAATGCATTTCCAACTTTCTACTTTCTCTTCCTCATTCCTTCAATAGTTTAAAGCCACATAAATTCTCCATAAAAAATCACTATAAGCCCAAAGCAAAACATTCCCCAAATAGTCTAGATGATTTATGTTATTTTTGTTTACATATACTTTAAGTAGCCTTCCCTGAATTAATACAACATACCCAGCAAAGAAAGTTATTTTGCAGCAGAGTATTATTTATACTTTTTTTCTTGAACCATGTTATCCTTTGGCTAACATGAAGGTCAAAATACATAAGCATAGATAAAATATTTATCTTCATTGTTTCTTTAGAACAATGCTGGAAAGATATTAGGATAAAAGCAGCAAAAACAAAGTGGGTTTTTTTCTCTTTAAAATATACTTATTTATTTAGAACACAGAATGACGGTGAGAAGTGAGTCACAGATCTTCCATCCATTGGCTTACTCCAGAATCAGTTGCAACAGCCAAAGCTGGGCCAGACCAAAGCCAGAAGCCAGGACCAAGAATTCTAACCATTTAAGTCTGATACAATGATAGGAGGCACCCGGCTACTTGGGCCATCTTCTTCTTCCTTCTCAGAAAAGTTAGCAGGAAGCTGGATTTTAAGTGGAAAACTGGAACTGGAACCAATGATCTGATACGGGATTGTGGAGCAGCTAGTGCCAGTGTAACCTGCTGAGCCACAAGGTTGGCCCCCAGAAGGTGTTGTAACTTCTCTGTATCTAACCAAACTCCTAGATTCAGGGTGATTCTGCTCCCCATGTGGTTGAGCACTAACACTAGTAGCTCACACCCTACTGCTCACAGTGTGTCTAACATTTCTTCCCCACCTAGAACTATCAGTTATAGCTCTTCCCAAACTATGCCTTGTGTTATGCTTTCTAATTTAAAGAAAGAGAAATAATTATATGTGGTTTTAAAATAAAAGGAGACTTGGTTCTGTAAAACTCTATTTTGAATGCTTTGGAAGAACTCTTAAAACATTGAAATGCAAAGTTCACAGGTGAAAGTGAGATAATTTTAATATTTGTGTATGATAACCAAACAGTATCTAGAAACAGTGTATATGCCAATTCCTTCAAAAACACCAAGTTTTCAATCTCAAAGAACCAGCATCGGTAATGCAACTACAGCAACACAGTATAGTATATGATACATTTTGGTGATTCATGTTAGAAAGAAGATGAACTCCAAGCAACAGACCCATGGTTAAAGAGGGGTGTCTGATTTGAAAAAGACAGGGCAATAGCTGCTTGTTTCACTTATTCTCATTATTTAAAAGATAATTCTAAGCTGCACACAGAAATTGTCCAAGTGCCACATTATGTTTTTACTGTGGGAACATGGGTGGCTGGGATGGCGAGGACCTAACGTCTGACCACTCCAGCCAAACCATGGGAGGATGCAGGTCGGTAATTACCAGCCCCAACCAAGCAGCAGTTGATAGGTCCTTGCCTAGCTGGGGGTTTGATGCTAGTCATAAGTGAGTCAGGCTTCAACACCCATGGTCTACCCCACCCACCAGGATAGCTGGACACCTGGCCTGGCCCTAATAGCAAGGGTTCTTCTGACCACCATCCAGGTTCCCTTCTCTTCCTGTGACAGTGTAGGCTCAGCTCTGTATCCAACATAGCTGCACCATATGCTCCTCTCCCAAACCTATAGGCTATTATGGTAAGATTATATCATATGGGACACTACTATTCCCAGCATGCACTTAATGCCATGACACTGCTGATATTTCTTAAAATGGGCATGGAAGTGGGAGGTGCTTGAGCCCTACTTCTGACTCCTGATTCTGAAATACACTTCATGTTCTAGCGTATTAAATTCTAAAAATTTCTTGCAGTCTTCTCATGCATTTTGCTGCTTTCCTTTAGAAATCTGCAAAATCAATGGTAGCCTGGTAGACTTCTGATTCTGAATATTCTGAATATTCAATTAGGTTCCATGAAGTTCAGCTCCTGACACTCCTGAAGGTGTAGGATGTTTTTCTCAAGTGGAAAGACTCTGTTTCAGAATAAAACATAAAATCATCTGTTTTCTGATACTTGGAGATTTTTTAGGTTCTTCATTCAAGTGCCAAATCTCAAAGACAATTGATCATGGATTCATTAAATAAGTTTCTCTTTTTAAAAAAGATTTATTTATTTTTATATGGAATACAGATTTTACAGACAGAGAAGGAGAGACAGAAAAATCTTCTATCCATTGGTTCAATCTATAAATGGTTGCAATGGCTGGAGCTGAGCTGATCTGAAGCCAGAAGCAAAGAGCTGCTTCTTATTGTGTGCAGGGGCCCCAATAATTGAGACATCTTCCACTGATTTTTGAGGTCATTAGCAGTGAGCTGGATCAGAAATGGAGCAACTGGGTCACAAACTGGAGTTAACAGGAGGAGGCTTAGTCTGATATACCACCACAATGGCCTCAAGAACTGTCTTTTTGAATTTTTTTTTTAAATTGGAAGTTTTGTTTTTCCTAGAGGAAACCTATATGACATGAGTTTGATTATCCTTTAAAAACACATAAACCCAAAAATATCACTTTTATTAGAAAATCCACACTTGCCTGATGATGCTGTGAGTATTCATTGGATAGCCTGGGAATTCAGGATTGTCATAAATCCCATAATCTCATTGCCAAAGAGGAAAAACCGAAGCAAAAATCTCCCATGAATCTCCTATTATTGATTTTATGTGCTTTCAAATAATAGGAAATGCAATAAAGTAATACAACACTGAATTTCAATTTCAGTATTTCAGTGTATGAGCTGCAAAATGGAATATGACGTGTTTCCTACCACCAACTTAAAGCAAATGTGGAAGCTCCACTATGGAACTGTTGTTAGCTTACACAAGTTGACTCAGGGCAACCACATTCTAGACATGCTCTGACATGAAGTTGACTGTGGAAAAAAATACAATAGTTCAGCCTCTTATTTTAGGTGATTTTTCCCATTATATTTTCACAGGTAAATTTCCAGGCTACCATTGATTTTGCAGATTTCTAAAGGAAAGCAGCAAAATGCATGAGAAGACTGCAAGAAATTTTTAGAATTTAATACGCTAGAACATGAAGTGTATTTCAGGAGCATTACGGTACAGGATGTTAACCTGCTACTTGGATCACCATATCAGAGTGCTTGTGATTTAGTTTTGTTTCCACTTCTGATCTGACTTACTGTTTACGTTCACCTTGGGAGGCAGCGTAAGACAGCCCAGGGAGTCCCCGGCACTTGGCTTGGCCTGGCCCATAACTGTCTGTCGTGGGCATTTGGGGAGAGAACCAGTAGCTGGAAAGTCTCTGTCACTCTCTTCGCCTGCCTCTGTTGGGTCAAATGATGAGTGGCCATTGTTTTAGATTGGGCTTCTGCACAAGGCAGCAGGAGACCAGACTAGATCAGATCAGACCAGAATGTAGTCACTCCTGCAGCATGCACACAACTCTGAACTGAATCTTGCAGGAAGGTGACCAGTTCTTACAGAAGACCATGATTTCCATTCTGTGAGTCAGGACAATACCAAACTCTCCTGTGACTCAACCTTCATACACAAGTAGCCTGCTATGAAGTCTGTCATTTTCTAATCTGTTTTCTGCTTCTCTCCTTACAAAACCCACTGTACTGTGAGTTTCAGGTGGTACAAACTCTCACTCCATTTTACACAATGGAAGCCACCTCAGTTCAGAATTACAAATATAGAGCCTACCAAACCTGTAACCGAATTTGACAGTTCACCCAGCTCCATCAGAAACACTTGAACTCTGGTTATCAATGACCTTCTTTCAAAATCCAATTGATATTGGTCCCTCCTTAGTGCACTTCATCTCCCTCCAACTTGGGGGCATGTCTGTAAACGAGTCACATTCTCTGACTCTCCTCTTCTTTTTTCAGTCTCCGTGGCATATTTCTTTTGCTTAGACCCTCCCTTAACTGGCAGTATTTCTCAAACATTCACCTAAACGTACTCATCTACCATCCTCACTCTATACAGAATGCCCAACAAATATCATCTGCTTCAGTTTCAGCTGCTCCCCTCATGCCAGCAAGTACAAATCTAAGTGTGTTATTCAGATCCTCCCCTGCGCTCCAGGAATGAGCCCTCCAGGGTCGATGATGATGCCTCAAATCTCCCTAACTCTACCTCTCTCTTATTCAATCCATTTTGTGCTTAT